CCAACATTCCAATTTTTTTTTTTTTTTTTTTTGCAATCTTTTCAGTGCCTAAGACCTTGTCAGACGTCACAGATCACAGGATGACCCTGGTCACTCTAACAGTCATTAAACATCCAGTTACTAGGCACACACGAAATCTGACCTCCTTTCTTTCTTAGAATAACTCGGTCAGTAGAACCAGCAGAGGGGTGGCGTGGTCTCGCGGCATTCCCATGTGAAACAGGTGGAGAGAGAGCCTAGTTATAAAATATTAAGCACATTAATGCTTAACTGTAACCAAAGGAATGTGACTCCTTGTAAACCTGGAAGGAAGCTTCCAGAGACATGATTCACGGTTCAGCCAGTTTAACAATTTATCACTGACTTAGGTAAAGATATGAAAAACAGCCTGATCTAATGTGCAGGCAACACTTCTGTGGGAGGGCAGGCAAAGGTGCTAAATAATAGAGCGAAACTGCAAAATACACCGTGGGAAGAATGAGCTAAAATACAGCAAGACGAAGCACAGTCCATGTTAGGCCCTGCAAGGCCAACAACACAGGAAGGGAAGACCGGGTTTAATGGCAGCACGTGATTAAGGACCCAGGGTCCAGTGACGAGCACACTCACTGGGTCTGAGTAGCACGGCCACTAGAAAATGAATGCAAACCTGGACTACATCGGTGCAGGCGGGGCGTGCATGGCAGGGGGACAGCCTGCTGGACACAGGTGACAGACACTTCAGTGCCCCGCCCCCTGTGGCAGGTACTGTTCGGTGAATAACTGAAACACCTCTACGGAAGGGTTTGTTCCGCACATGACCCAGGGAGCAGAATTCAAATAAGGAGGTAGAATCAGATCTCAACTCTACAGGTACAAGACGCTATCTGGTGGTCGGAGGCATCAGAAAGGAGGAGCTCCCCACCCGGTCCTGGCCATGTTCAGGTCCTGCTGGAAGGCCTCTTGCCCAGCATGTGAGTATAAAGGGATCCAAGCATCAAAGAAGGGTGAGCTGAGCTGACTTCCACAGTCACTAAGTGGAAGTCCCTGGCACTTAGGGAAGTTTTCACTCTTCTATACAAAAGGAAGAAGTGCCTGTATGTGGGTGGATACATGTATGAGTGTATGAGAAGTGCACGTGCACATGCGTATGGGGGGGGGAGGGGTACATGCGCATGCGTGGAGGGAATTTTAACAATCAGCCTCTCTGCAGGGGAAGAACCTTCCTTTCCCCTGCCTGACAGCACGCGTATCCTTCCTTTTGGGGTGAGGGGGGCGAAGGCAGGGATAGGACCTATAAACCCATATTACACAACTTGAACTGCCAAATCATGCTCCTCTGATAATTCCCCTATTACATTCCATAAAGGTAAAGCTCTCTGAGAAAGGCTAAAATTATAAGTAATTGCTGTGTTAATGTTCAAGTAGCAACGTCAATTACTGACAAACGTGACAATCACCAAAACTTGCTTCTGTTTTTGCTTTTAAGTTTTACAGGAGAATGAAAACAAAAAGCAGAGAGTCAACATGAACAAAACCCTAAGGCCCTTTCCGATACAGAGATGCTATAACTAGACTCTACTTTTCTCAACTGCATCGTTTCTTCTTTCCTATCATGGAACTTGGCTGTACACGTGTTAAAAAAAAAAATGTACATGTGTTTTAAAAACAGGAATTGGGTTACACTAAATATGAAATCTCTCAAGAACAGAACCTCTACGGTGGATCAGATCTGTCTCTCTAAAACCCCTCCTTGGAACCAAAGTTTATGAACCAAGTTGAGACAGTATCAAAATAATTTATCAAGTTTGGAGCATTTAAATTCCTATCACACTCTCACCCCTCCCTTAAAAGGAGTCACAGCCAAATGTGATTGGAACAGAAAAGCAATTTCTGAGTCATTGATTTCAAGGTAAACCCAGGAAGCTATAACTCCCATTAATGTTCACACGCAAGCTTTCCATTAGCCAAAGAAAGAAATGACACAATCATGAGAAAATGTACATTATCTCAATCAGTCCGTCATTGCCACTATTCTAATACATTTATTTTAAATGTTTAAAGAAACCTAACATTTTGGTGCTGAAGGAGATCATGGAAGTACTTTATCCAAACTCATTTGCGACAAGCAGCAGAGGCAGGAAGCGGGAGTCTCCTGTGCCCGGGGTTCTACTCTGTCCCCCTGTAAAGGAATCAGGTGTCCTAAACAGAAGCAGACACTCTGGAACATGGGTTCCTGTACTCTTTAGGACCGCCTTGCATATTTCATTCAAGTTTGAAACAAACACACAAGCCAACAAAAACGTGTGCTTTTCAGTTAACAATAACAGCCTAAATTTTCTTCAAATTCAGCATGTCTTTGAAAGGATTTGTAATCCTAAACGACGACCATACGTTAAATCATAAATTCAAAGACTCAATCTCGTCCCCAATCTAAAAACAGAAGACAACCTTGCATTTACCATTATGGCTGGGGGAGGGAGGGCTATAACCACATACGCACATAGTTCTTTGCAAAGTGTGCAGTGAAAGTGCAGTCCCTTTTAAACTACTTTTGATGACCAAACATGGCATTTTTAAACCAGCTTCAATTACCAGACAATTACCCTTTCAGACAGCTCACTAGTCTTTTCAAGAACAGATAGATTTTTAAAATGAGTAACCCATTACCCCTTTTGCCTCAGGTAAAAAGATCCCCCAAGGTAGACAGGTGTTTTACTAAGCTCAAGTATCAAAAACTCTTCAAAATACCATTTCAGTCCTGGGGGAGGGGAGACCTACAAACCCATGTTACGCGGCTTTAACTGCCAAATCATGACGCTCTGATAATTCTCCTTTTACATTCCATAAAAGTAAAGCCCTCTGAGAAAGGTTAAAATTCAAAAACATAAAAAGCCACTGATGAAAAATACACACTTAGACCAGCTGGAGAAAATCGGCAGCTTTACCTCCATACCTACAATTTATCTCCTGCTTTCTTTTCCTGACCAAATGCTTACACTGGTTCTTATCCAAGTTCACTTCACCCCATCTATAGGTGGCATGTGGGTACTGATAAAAGCTGTTTCTAATTTTATTTTCTATTTCCCAGATGTTTGCTAGAGAGTTTTTCCTTCAGCTATTTACGAATACGCTCTGATTTAGAACACACAAATTCAACATGTTATAAATAAGCTGTGCAAGACACACACCAAAAAAGACAGCTACAAAGATAATTTCAAGATATTTCTCCAGCTTAAAAATAAGTTTGCCTACCTGGGCAAGATCTGGACAGGCTGCTATGGTCTTGCTTTAGAAAAAAAGCATTTAAAATACACAACTGAGAACCTGCTGCTGCTGAAATGGCCAACTGCAGGCTATTGCATTTCTCATAAAAGGGGTTGTGCTTAAAAATGAAAAGCCAAATATCAACTATCAGCTAGGAAAAAAGATGTTACTAACAAAAGCCCTGGTACCAATCATGTGTATATACTTCAACTGCGCCTCCTCCCCAAATGCATCAATGGAGGTTTCAGCCAGAATCAATGCTATTTGCATTCAAAAGTCAAGAAAGACTGTACTTTCCCATGAATAAATTCTCTCGTAACTGTATGAAGCACGCCCTGAACGCCAGAATCAAGCGGTAAACAACGTAGGTGGAAATGCTGTCTGCAGAGAATTACAAATCCCAGAGAACCCTGAATTCTTCAAATAAGTCAGAACATGAAACAGACATCTTAAATGTGTAACTAGAAACAGTAACCAAGTTGCCTCTTAAAATTCATCTTTAGGAAAGCTGAGATAATAGGCCACCTTTTGATAACTAAATAAATATTGACTTACAGGGAAGTAACACATGTCAAAGAAAGTTAAGTGTTGGAGTTTTCCCCCCTCCCATTGCTAATTGTGAAACTAAAACAATTAAAGCCTGATCGCATATAGGCAACTCCAAAGCCCGGTTTACGAAATGCCCGTCATAAGAAAGCCATCTAGTGTTAGCATTTAGAAATGAAAACTGCAGACAAAAGAGGCAAAGAAAAGAGATATCTGAGTGACTATTTTGAACTTACTGAGCAAACCTATGGGAATCACCAAGGTTCTTTGTTTAAAAAAAAAAAACAAAAAACAAAAAGCCACCCTTACCCAACCCAAGTCTAAGTCTATGCAAAATCCAAAACCTCTGCAATTTTATTTTAAACCAAAATCCTGTTTGGTGGCCACAATCCTGTGCCCAGTGCACTTGATGTTTTCAGTGCGCACGCTGGAGTCATCTCGGGCTGAATTAATTTAACCGAAGCAGGTTAATGATGACAAATACCTCCCAGAGGGGCAATGCCAACTTGTTTTCCTTCCCGAGGAGCCTCGGCTCGCACTCCGAGAGGACGAACCGGAATTGATTCTCCGCGTTTGCCGCACGGTTGAAAATTCATTGTAGGTGCCCGTGGGGATACTCCCAGGACACGGCCAAACTAGGTTTAATAGCGTGGGGACACGAACGGGACCGAGAGCGGAGGACGCGGTGAACCTCGGCGCCTGGGCGGCGGCAGAGGGTCGGACTCCGAAGGAAGGTCGCGCCGATTCAGAGGATCGCCGGCCGTTCGGGGTCCTACAAAGGGGGGCCGGGCGCGGCGGGGGCTCGGGCACCACATCCCCGGGAGTCACCCGCGGCAAGTTCGGCAACAACCCTGCCCGGCGCGCCGCTGCACCGCGTCGGGCAGCCTTTCATCTTTTCTCGAAGGTTAGTCACAGAGGAGTCGCCGGACACCCAGAGGGGGTCCTCATTAGTGTGCGTGTCATCAAGACGGAAATAACCTTTCAGCCGACCGACAACTTTGAGAGAACGAGCCGCGGCGGCTGCGCTTCCACCGAGCTGGGGAGCGCGAGCGCGTCCGCGAGCCGGACCCCGGCGCCTGAGCCCCCAGCGCCCCGCCATCAGCCCGCTGAGGCGCCCCCAGGGACAGCCGCTTCACCGCGGGACAGTCCCCGCCGAGCTGGTCCCCAGACACCACCCGCAGGGACCCGTCCGATCGCCCGACACGCACCTCGGAGACACGGTCCGCCGGGACCGGCTACAGTCCGCGAGCGCGCGGCGACTACCGGGGCCGCAGCCTGGCCGCCCGCCGCCCCGCTCTGCCCATCGGCCCGGACTCTGCCTGCGCCGGGCTCCGGCGGGAGGCGGCCGGACCCGCCGGCTGCGCTGGAGCTGTCGGCCTGCGCTCGGGCGGGCGGCCGGCCGCGGAGGGCGCGCGGCGCAGCTCCTCCTCCGCCGCCGCCGTCCGCGTCCTCCTCGAGCTCCGCCGACTCTTCCCGGGCTCCGGGTCTGCCGCGCCGGCTACCGACGCCACCGCCCTCCGGCCCAGAGGCGCCGCCCCCCGCCCGCGCCGCGGCCTCTCATTGGCCGCCTCCTGCAGACCCCCTCGGCCCCGCCCCGCGATTGGGCGCTGGCTCCGTCCGTCCCGCAGGCTCGCGGGCTCCGGGCGCAGCCGGTGCGCGGTTCCCAGGCCTGGGTGCGCGGGATCGGCACGTACCTTAGCGGCTCGGGCCCCTTCCCAGGGAGGTGGCTGCGGTCTCGAGAGGGGTGCAGCCTACCTGGACCTGCCTACCGGGAAAACCGTCCTCCTCGGGACTCGGTCGCCTTTCTGGCAAGGAGAAGCGAAGCCCCGAAGCGGGGCTTCGAGTCTCCCCCTGCGCAGTCGCGACCTCGCCAGTCTTCCATTCCGAAGTTGGGAGAATCGCGCCCTACTGACGCCCGGGTCCACGCGCCGCGAAGCCCTGAGTGCCGCTGGCAGAGGAGGTTCAGGCAGCCGGGGGTGCTGCGTGGGCACCTGCCCTAGACGCTGCAGAGTTGCCGCATCCGTGTTCACTACAAGACGGCAGAGGGTCAATCCCTACTGTGTGCCAGCCCCGGGGACGTGGTGGAGCACCCGGACCTCCCAGATGGTGCCCCTGCATCCGGTGACTGGGGTGGGATGTTGCACACAGAATCGCATAAATAGAACTTTAGAATAGGGTTCGGTAGGTGGCGACGGTCGGGAGCGGAGGCCTTTCGGAGTCAGGAGGGAAACGGAGAGGCACGCAGTCGGGACGCCCGGGCCAAGCCCGGGCCCCACCCCGCCCTCCAGGCAGGCCTCAACCCCAGGGAGAAATGCTCTTGGATTTCTGTCCCTACGAGGAGGAAATGAGCGTTTTATACCCATCTTCTCTATTTGCCTGGAAGATGTTGATCACCCAGGGGGACGCATTACCTGAAACTATTCATGTAAATTGTTTCATATGTGAATTGGTAGCTGAAAGATTAAAGGATCTCAGGAGACTAAAGCTAGACTGGAGTTGCCTCTGCCTAAATGGTACGGTGTGGGGGTCACAGCCTATCGGAAGGAACAGACCGGCCTAGGTAGCCTCTCACTCACCTTCCGGCCCCATCGTTGGGTTCCTGAGCCCGGTTTGTGGCTCAGCCGAGCTTCAAGAGACTGCATGCAGGGTTTTCAGTTCTTCCCCTTATAGAGGCAGAATTCTTCCCGGAGAGATAATGCCTGTACTTCCCTATCACAAACACGCCTCAGAACACAACTGAAATATTAAAGGCGGTCCCTCCATGATCTTAAAGCTTCTACACATGACATAATCTTTTTTATCTCTTTGTGATATATGCGGGTATAGTATGTGGAACTGGGAATAATAAAACCTGTCAGAGAACAATACAATGATATGGCAGAATTCCTGCATTCTCTAGGTTTCGATGGACTTCCCAGCTGTCCCTTCATTCTCAGAATCTGCCAGATTGTTATTTATTCATTCAACAGTTAGGGCCACCCTGTGATGTTCCAGAAAGTGCTAGGTGCAGGGTATATAAAACTGCACAGGACATGGGCCACACTGTCCAGGAGCTCACTACAGGTTTGAACAAAATCCCACAGGGACAGCCATGGAGGGACATACTTCCCTCTACAGCACGTTAGCAAAGTACTCACACTTCACATAACTGCATGTATCCCTGTCTTTGCCACTGTTCTGTCATGAGGGCCACAAGAAAAGAGCTACGTCTCCCCCGGGGTTTTGACTCTTTTAAGTCAGGGACTGCCTGAGTCAACGAATTGTCCCTGATGTGGTTCTTGCTGCTGCAGCTGCAACTGTCCATTGTCTGACAGGTACCCTTGGCATGTTCCTTAATGTCCCATTGATAATGATCTTCAAAGGAAGTCCAGCCAGACACACTCGATGACCACCACCGTTAGCCACAATGTTCCTCCTCTCCCTCCTTACCACTCTCTTTCTGGGTTTTTTAAACTGAAACTGAAATACCCCAAGTCCTTTGGCCACTATCAGAGTTGGCAGCATTTTTTAAAAGTCCATGAGAGTTTCTGACTTTCCCAGCCCCCGGGCCATGCAACCCTCCCTCAACAGAATGTTCCAGGCCTCAGCAAACATACTGAGCCCCTTTGTGGTGCCTGGTCAATGCTGGACCAGGGCCACATGGCCCAGGATGAGGCCCACAGAGCGTCGGCCTTGTGGCAGGCTGTGAGAGATTTTCAGCAGACAAAGTTTAGGAATGATTGTGGATCTTCCTCGCCAAATAAAATGTTCTAGAAATACTATTGGATGTAATGCTGGTGTCCTTCTCACTTGCCTTCTTAGGGAAAGGGAAACAGGGTAAAGGCTGGAATTGCAGCAACTGTTAAGATATCAGTTTATCATTTTGGCCTTAGGCTATCTTACTGGAAAAACCTTTTGCTATGAAGGCTAATCTCGCCAAATTTTAAACAAACAAAAAAAAACACACACACCAACTCTGGAGTGTAAAACTGTTTTTGGCTAGAAGCTGGAGTGAACTGTCACGGGTCTATTTCTCCTTCCCCTTCCCCTCAGGTCAAGATGTCCTCTCCTCTTGCCCTTTCAGCCTCACTTTCTATTCACAAAAGTTATTTTTCTCCTGTGAATTTCATCATGTTCTTGGAGTTCCTAAAGAAACAGACTCAAGGGATTAATTAATTCTCTTTACAACTCTGAATCAGCACATCAGCTCCTTCCGAAGTAACTCCAACATTTGTCTTACTTATTTCTTCTCTAAAAGGTGTAAAAAGGCTAGAGTTCAAAGACATGGCAGCTGTCCACCCTGTTCCAAGATTTTGAGCTGGGTGGCTGACCTAGGTGTGTAGTTGTGTCTATTTACCTTCACATTTAGCGAAACAGGAGTTTTCTCTCCTTGACACCCTTCAGCAAGTCTACTCACAGATGACATGCATGCACTGGAATGAACTTGAGTGCCTCTCTATGTTAAGTAAGGGTTTAGATGCCTGCCTCATTTCCTTCTCTGTTCTACTTTCAGCCCTCTTTCCGAAAGTATTTCTTTGACCAGAAAGTCAAATGAATGTTCATAATTTGCAACAAATATGTATTGATTGCATACCTCATTCAGGACATTATGTTAGGCTCAAAGGACCCAGAAGGCTGTCCTTCAGAGTCTGTGCATTTCCTCAGGAGCAGAACTTCAGGAGGAGAGGCCGAGGACCACCAATCAGGGATGCCCACAGGTAGAGCAGGAAAGCCAGCAATGTCAGCAGGCAAAGCTTGGGCTGATCGCGGAGGCTGCGCCTAGGATCTTAAACCTGCCTAGCGAGGAGGAGAAAAGAGCAGTACTGGCAAGAGGAAGCACAGTGCACAAAGATGCAGCAACCAACTGTGCCAGATGTGTATGGGAAACAGCCGTGCCCTTTGGCCAATCACAGGCTAATTCACTTACATAACCAACACTTACATGATGGTGCGGCCATGCCTGGTCCTGTTTGCTTCTGAGAGGGACAGTCCTCCCCACAGGGATGAGCACATGGGCACTGCTTCACCCTTCCTTCAGACTGGACACCTCTTGGGACAGAAACTTCTTAGGGTATGGTTTTGTGAAGCAACATAAGAAGCGTCGAGTTCTGCTGCAATTTTTAAAAGTGATTAAGCTGCAGCTGAGGAGGCTGGGTGGCTGGCCCTGGTATACCAGTAGTCCTGATAAAAAAAAGGAAGCACATGTTCCTCTTCAAGCGGAACCCAATAGAGCCATGAAAGAGTTATTAAATAATGTGCTAAATATCACATACTATCCATAGGAGCCTAAGAAGAAACCCATCTAATAAAAAAAAAATCAATTCTGCAATTATATTTGGAGGACTACCGAGCGCTCAGTTCCGCTCAGGGGGTGCTGAAGATGATTACGTATAAATAATGAGACCGTCCGCAAGGAAATGCAGCACCGCTGAGCCGGGATTTTTACATAGGAGATAATTCTAAGAACAGTGCAAAGGCAATACATTAAAAATGTAGTGCTGTATAGATACGTGCCATGGAAATGTAGAAAGGCAATATTGGTGGAGTGATCGGAGATCAGTGACAAATATCCTTCAGGAGCAAGTGGTCTCTCGTTTTCTTAAAGGTGCATTTCACAAATAGGAAATCCTACATGTTGGTCCTTGCGATAATGTGCCCAATTCGGTGTATCGCCAAGAACCCTCCAAGACAAATTCCCTTTCTGGTGATTCACACTCTTGGCCTGAGGTAGTCACATCTTCTTCCCTTTATCTTCTCCAGTCCAGGCCCATAGCCTAATGACTTGCACAGACTTATCACCCTTACAGCTGTTTTCTGTCTTCTCACTTTGCTCATTTCCCCTCACTTATATAGTAAAAAAAAAAAAAAAAAAGCCTCAACGGTATGTAATGCAGAAGCATCTTCCACCTTTCCACCTTTGCCTTGCTCAGGTAGCCCAAACAGTGGAGTTTTTCAGGAAACCTTTGGTGTGAGACAACCCTGGCTCCTTTGGACTAATTACATCTCAAAGTTGCATTTTCCTCGTCCGAAAAACGGGGGTTTCCATCCTCAGAGGGCTGTGGTGATGAAGCCATGTGATTTGGGCCTGAAGTGCTGAGCTCAGCGGCCAGAAACACGCGGATCATCACTGTGGACCATCGCCTCCCGCCCTTCCACGTGGGGACTCGCGCAGAACCTGCCCCAGGGGAGGGCTTGAGTAATGAGGGAGGGAGGCATCGAGGAGCGGGCGGATGGATCGCGCAGAGGGATAAAGTCCTGTAGCCTTTTATGTTTTCTGCCAGAGGAGATTTACATCCGAATCCTCCAAATGGTATTCCTACTTAGTACTTACAGTATTTTATTAATCAGTGTTTTTGGTTCTACTTTTAAGAAATAAAACCAAGTTAATAACATGTAAATTGAATTGATCTATGCGTGGCTGCTATTCTATACCACTAGATGGCGTCTATCAATAATGACACAAAGGCACCACATACTCTGCTAGGTAAAAATTCTAAAGAAAT